CATGCCTCTTGCCATCTGCCTTCTGTGTTTACTGAAAGGTATTTGTAAAGACTCATAAATATGCCCAGGAACTCAGAGCACAAAAGCACAGCAGCCAATAGTGCACGTCACCCTCCCCCAGCCTCCAGCGAAAACAGCAGGTGCTGTCACTCAGGCTGTGAGAGCATCTCCTTCACCACCTCAATGCCGTCCCCACCTCTGCTGTCTGCTCTTTCATATCGTGTTCTTTGAATTCTCACAACAACCCTGAACAGACAAGCTGCCTTTTGTTTAAGTGAACTGTGGTCTCCTGTCTCCACAAGTCAGTTTTCTCACCCTAACAGAACCATTGATCCTTGGAAGGGAGGGGGTAGAAATATTTTGGCTAATTTTTCTTCTTTCAAGAGTCTGGACCACATGGCTCTGCTGTTGGTTTAGCTGCAGGTCCACCAGGTTTTCTGGAAGTGCACTTCATGGGTTGGTGCCAGAATTCTCATAAACCTCTTTCCCATCTTTTTCGTCCCAGGCAACTGGATTAACAGTCCTGAGTCACAGCCCTGTCACAGCCATATCCAGCCTGCATTTAATCATGCTGCCTTGCCATCGTCTGGCCCATTCTGCTACAACCACTGCTTTTGCAAAGCAAATCAGGTCATACAGGATTAGCAAACAGGAGAACGATGTTGGGATAATGTGAAAGTCAGATTGGTTGCAACATGATTCATCTTGGTGTGTTAATGTTCTGTGCCGACCAGTGGAAGCAGCTGAACATGAAATACCCCGATGGCTGAATGCAGGAGCTGCTGAGGAACACGGCACAGGGGCACCATGCCATTCACCTCCCGTCTTCCTCGTGGCTCCATCTGGAAGTGCTCGGTGGGCGAGTCTCTCTTCTGACTTGGGACTTGTTTCCATCTGTACTTCAAGCTCCCGTCCTGAAAGCCCTTCCATCAAACAACCTTCACCTTTATTTTTCTCAACAGAAAATTGTATAATTGCTGGAATATTTATTAGGAGTTCAACATGTTTTCTCTCTCTCTTTTTTTTTTAAATGACTGTGCTGGATATTTATGGGGTTGTTACTATTTTTGTAGTGTTGGTTAACTGTGGCATGGGTTTCCAGTGGTCTGCCCCCACTGTATACCGCCCATCAGCCTGGATGTTGGTAGGTATGCAGTTTTGCAGATCAAGAGGTTTCTCAGGAATGCATACATCCTGTGTGAACAGAAACACCTGCACTTATCTTCATAGTTACTTTTTACTTTTGTCCTGATTTCTTGGTCTTCCACGTATGATGGAGGGCTTATTATTGTTGTTGTTGTTGTTGTTTTTATCATTATTATTATTATTATTAAAGTATAGTCAGTTACAATGTGTCAATTTCTGGTGTACAGCATAATGTCCCAGTCATGTGTGTATATATATATATATTCATTCTCATATTCTCTTTCATTAAAGGTTATTACAAGATACCAAACATAGTTCCCTGTGCTATACAGAAGAAATTTGTTTTTTAATCTATTTTTATGTATAGTAGTTAATATCTGCAAATCTCAAACTCCCAAATTTTACCCTTCCCACTCCCTTCCCACTCCACCACTGGGTAACCGTAAGATCATTTACTATGTCCATGAGTCTGTTTCTGTTTTGTAAATAAGTTCACTTGTGTCCTCTTTTTTTTTTGAGTGCACATATGAGTGACATCATATGGAATTTTTCTTTCTCTTTCTGGCTTACTTCACTTAGAATGATGATCTCTAGGTCCCTCTGTGTTGCTGCAAATGTTATTATTTTATTCTTTTTTATGGCTGAGTAGTATCCCACTGTATATATGTACCACAACTTCTTTATCCAGTCATCTGTTGATGGACATTTGGGTTGTCCATCAACATCCATGGACAATGTCCATTGACAGAGGGCCAATTTTTAAAGAAAAATAGTGACTAACAATGTGTGGTATACAGGTGGTCCCTGACCCAATTGAGGGAGTAGAAACTTCACAAAGTGTGGCACAGTGGCAGAGCAAACATTGCATGTGATGAGCTCAGCCAGAGGACTTCGGAACACAAGGGCAGATTACATGTGGACAGGGGATCCCTTCACACGGAAGCCTCCCACCTTGCCAAGGATGTGGTAAGAACTCCATAAATGGTGTTTGTTACTATTCCTGCCACACCAATTTCTAGAAAAGGCAAGAATGGAATAAACAGGATGTTTCCCCTCTACAAACAGGCAGAAGAGCCCATGGTGACATTTGTGAGCAAAAGCAGTTCAAACAAATCTGCTTTCCATTAATGCTGCATAAGCAGTGGTTTGCAGTATCAGCAGAAATGACTAATTACTCTAGTCTGAAGCCTAAAAAGATAAAGAGTTAGATTTATTATAAATGCAAGGGTGTGCACTCATGTAGAAATTACTTGTTCTGCACTTTTGCGACGTGTACTGATTTATGGCACAACATTCATACAGAGCTGCCTTTTCCATCTCTAATGCTCTAAATGAGACATGGATTAAAATGAAAATTAGAACTCCAACTTTAGCATGACTCATAGTAGCTCATTTCCATCCCAGAAGAGCAGAGATGAAAAGCATCTTTCTTCTCAATTTTCTTCTAAATTAGGGACACGTGATCTGGGCTGATGGATGCCTATGGTCACAACAGGGCCCTGTGCCTGCTCCCCTCCCCTGGAAAGTCTGCAAGTCTCCCCACTGCCCTCCTGCCTCCAGGCTCCTCTGTCTTGTCCGCTTTCCCCTCCAGGTCCACAGAGATCTTCCTAAACTCAAAATCTGACTCTCATACTCCATACTCAATACTCAATACCTCTGTCAGACAGCTATAACTCCAGGTCATGCCAAGTGCCTTGGTATGCTTTTCAGGGTTCTTAATAGCCAAATCCACACTTCCAGCCCCATCCTGGCCAGCCTGAGCTTAAATCACACCTTGCTACTTGCTGTCCCTCAGGCCAGCACCTCCATCCAGCCTGCCCTCTGTTTCCACATCAGTGTCTGGAAAACTCTTGCTAGCCTCTCAAGTACAGCTAAAGGAACACTACCCCACCACTGTCCATCCCTCCATCACTAAGGAGAGGGCTCACAGCCCCATCTTCCCTTCTTCCCTAGAGCTTGTCAAGATAACACTGTAGTTGTCTCTGTCCAACTATCCTTCCCTCTATAGCTACTTCCCCAGGGCATGACTATGGGGATCTAGCCATATCCAGGTCCCCAGTGCATAGCATGGGGTCATCTAACAACTGGAAAGCAATCCACATGGATAAGTGGACAGATGGACTGGTTGGCAAATTCCCCTTGGATTCATTTTCTGGGAAGTCCTCAGAAAAGGGTATCTACATTTACAGCTTCATGCCTAAACAGCCCTATGTCCTGGCAAACTCAAGCTGGAACCCAGTCTCATAAGCAGGAAAGCAGAAACAGGGAGCCCGGAGTCCTGTCAGGCTGTCCTCTTGGGCCAAGGGTTTTCAGAGTGGGTATGGGGAAGACAGATCAGCAACTCCCAGGTGCCACAGCACTGACCAGAGGACTGCCTGGCTCTCAGGTGTTTCCCAGACAGGATGGATGTAACCTGCGGAATTCTTTACACCCCACTGTAGTGCCTGGGGCCCAGCCAATGGGGAGACACAAGGCAGTACTCAGGGGAGACCCTGGTGCTGTCGCGGTGCTGACTTCCAGCCTCTGGTTTGGCCCAGGGCCTCAGCACTTCCCTCCCGATCTGGCACTGTCCCAGAGCCTCCTGGCACAGCTGACAGCCACTGCCTGGGTCCTGTCTCATGATATGTCCCTGAACTTCCTTTTGAATGAGTACCTTGGTCTTTTCACCTCCCTGTGTTAGGTTGGACCCTGAGGCAAGGATTTGAGAGGAAGTGATTAGGAAGTGATCCCAGGAAAAACTAGAAGGGTGTGGAGAGTGAGGCCAGGACAGAAAGGAGGCCAAGAGGGGAGTGTGGCCAAGGAAAGTCTCAGGGATGGTGACTTTGGTTGAGTCTTGTGGAGAGCTCTGGGGACGGTGTAGGTCACCTGTCAGGGTGTTCTGGTCAGGAGTGAGGGGTCTAGGGTATTTGCACCACCACACCTGTCAAACTGGGTGCGGGATTCCCCTCAGAGGACACAGCTTCCCAGGACCTCCCTCTACAGGCAAGGGAGGGAGAGCCAGGTACAGGCTCCTGGAAGAGAAAGCACTTTGGAGTCCTTTGCATAAACACAGTACAGGGGTCTGAAGGGACACGGGCAGAGGCTGGACGACTTCAGCCACAGACCCCACCTCCAACCTCCTCATCTTCAAGTCCCTTTCTATACCGACACCACAGTGATCACAACAGTGGTCCTTCTCGACCCAGCTCTGGTCTCTCGCTCAGCTCAAAGCCCTGCCTGATCCCACTGGCTGCAGGGAGGGTCTAGGCTCCTCAGCCTGCCCTTCAAGGCTTCCATGACCTGCACCCTGACTCCCACCTTGCACTTACATTTCTGCTCAGTGGAGGCCTTGCAGTACCCCCCACTCACTTTCTCCCTGACTGGCCTTTATTCAAGCTGTGACCCCTTGCCGGAGAGTCTTCCCAGGGGTGCTCCCCTGGCTCATGGTCTAGGCATCACCCTCTGCTCTGCAGCTCTGTGACCCACCCAGCCCACCTGGGTCCCTGCCCCTCTCTCATGTCTCGACCTCCATCCCACAGCCTGGGCCTCTGCTCCCCTCGTTATCATTCCAAAGTGGAGAAAAGGAATGTCAGGGGTGAACTGGGTATGTAATAAAGGGTGATGTCGTGGAAGGAGAGGGACAGGGCCCCCACCCACATGAGATGATGGCAGCGCCTGGCACCGTGTGTCTCGGTGCAAAGACACAGCCCCTGAGTCCCATGTCTGCACCTGCGGGGGTGGGAGGGGTGGAGAGGGGCACAGCTCAGTGGTGGAGCACGTGCTTAGCAGCACAAGGTCCTGGGTTCAATCCCATTTAAATAAATAAATGAATAAATAATCTCTTTAAAAATTCTTCATCTGTAACTTGGGGTCACAGACTCTCATCTTAGCGCAACCATCAGAAATAAATGCCTAGTGCATGCAGCTCTCAGCCAAACATGGCCCCTCCCTCTCCACCCTACTGCCTCCCTGCACATCTCACAGGCCATGGCAGAAGCCACTGACCACCTACCTGGTCAGACAGCACAAGGCCCATCTGAGCCAAACACTGACTGCCAAGCTTGCCAAGATGACCACCTCACTCTCAGATGCATCTGGTTCCTTGAGTCACAGAGCCCAGGCTGTCACATTCTCATTTGACTCAGAAGGCTGTGACATGTGGCATCTTGGCATGCAATGAAACCACCAGCGGCTTGTGCAGACCAAGGGCAAGGAGGCTGCCAGTCTGTCTAAAAGGCCGTCTTCCACGCTGGTTCCCGGCACTTGGCCTGCCACCCCTGGCCATCTGCCTCTGCCAGCAGAAGCCCTGTGCTCCCCTCCAGGCCTCAGGCTGCAGACGATTCTCCTGCCTGGGGTGAGAGTGGGAGAGGGGGGCATCAGCTCCTGCCTGCTCTTAGATCACCACACTCGGACACTCTGGAGCCCACACCAGGAAGCCAAGCCTACCCCCAGTCACCTGCTTCAGCCACTGGGCCATGATGATCTGCTGACCATTCAGTTCAATTTAGTTCAAGCTGCATCAGGCCCCACTGTGCACCTCAAACAGCATGGCCCGGGTGGGCTGGAGAGAGGACACGGTGACTATGATCATGACCATGGCGATGACCAGAGCCGTCACTGGCTGCGGCCCGAGCACTAAGTGTTTTATGTGAATTAACTTATTGAAGCTTCACACAACCCCAGGGCCTGAGTCAGTTTTATCGTCTCCATTTTACAGATGAAGAAATGGAAACACAGAGAGATTAAGCAGCTCACCCCCGGCCACAAGCTGTGAGAGCAGTGGTGTGTGGATGCACATGCTCTGTCTGACTCCAGAGTCCTGCTCACACTGCTGCCCCGAGCACACAGCAGCTGCCGGCAGCATGGCTGGGCCCAGCACTCCCCGCAACGTGCTCGGAGGACTTGGCCTTGAGTCTGCTGGGCTCCGAAGCCCACGCCCTGAATCCCTATGCTTGTCGGCCTTCCTGCGTGGTTACCATCATCCCTCAACCATTTCCACACACCGTGACCTCCGGCATCCTGGAGAACAAAGCCCTACAGCGTCCCCAACTTTCTAAACTTCCAGGAGATATGAGGTCCCCCCCAGCAGCCACTTGCAGGACTAATTCTGTGCCTGCTCCTGCCTGATCAGCCTTAACAGGATCAGTGCCATCTCTCAAAACTGAATTTGGCTTCTCCATCTTCTACTGACTTTATTGCAAAGGTTTTTATGGGCAAAGGTATCTCTGACATACACAGGTTGCCCTCCAGACCAAACCATCCCTCCGGCTGTCTGACACTGCAGCAGGAAGCAGTCCAAACTGGCATGCAAGAGCCCAGGGACACCCAGGGGCCCCGGGGTCATCAGGCACGGTGAGGGGAGCCAGCTTACTCCTGCGTGAGTCACCCCCTATTTGTGGATATTTCCCACAAGTCACCGCAACATGTGGCTGGAACAGTGACTGTGACCCTCAGCAGCCTGGTGGCAAGAACAGGAGCTAAAAGGTCAGAAAGTCCTCAGTTCAAACCCCACCCTGCCACTTCCTGGCTGTGTGACCTTCCCCGTGCCACTCTGGGCCTCTTGTTCCTGGTCTGTATAAACACCACAGCAATGCCCAGCTTGTAGTGCTATAAAGAGGCTCTGGAAGATGCTGGATGCTGGGTAAGTGTATTCCCTCCCTACTCCACCCCTAGGTGTCCTTGCAGACCACCTGGCCCAAGGGCTGCAAACAGATGGCTCCCGGCTGCATGGTACCCGGCTGCCCCGCTTGGCCCATGCAGGCTGGAAGGCAGTGTGATGAGGCCGGGGTTGTTTCAGCCCAACACAACAGCAGCACAAGCCACCTTCCCCGGTCAAGTATGTGAGCTGCCTGCAGCTCTTTGCCGATGATCGAGCTTGGGACCCAAACACCTGACCATAAAAAGACAAGGATTGTGCATTTCAGAGGTTTTACTAACTGGGGGTGAGGTGAGGGCTTTGTTTCTTCACTTCTTTGAGTGCAAGGAAACTGCATATAGAAGGAGAATCATGGTGCAAAAAGACAAAAACGTCTCTGTGCTTCTGAGCGAGGACTAGCCAGGCAGATGTTTGTACCCAGCAGTTTCTGCTGTGATATATTCTGATGACCCTGCATAAGCTAGAGAATGCCCACTAGGCTGGGAGGTAGGCTGCAAGGAGCACTCCTGTGCGGTACCTTCACATCCACGGCCTAGTAGCTTCAAAAACCTCTCCTCAGGCCTCTTCAGGGTGACTCCCAGTAATCTCTCTGCAACACCTAACAAAATTCCAGAATATTCCAGTGTTCGCTGCCTAGATGAGATATGACACATTGGGATCATTTGTACGTCTGCACCAGCAAACATGCACTTTAATCTGACTGGAACCAATTTAGAGGGATTTAATTAAATTTGCAAAAAGACAGCGTGGCAGAGGAAATTCAGCCTGCTCACCTGTTAACCAAATATTCAAAGAACAAGTGAGGTGATGGCTCATCTTCTACAAAAGCGCAGCTTTGTAAATAGACTGGTGAGATTGTAAAGTTTTAGAAAAACAAAGTTCTAAATGTACAACTGTCACCAACACAAGCGGCTCAGCAGGCATTTCTGAGCACGAAGTCTCCTGCTCGCTCCAGACATTCTCACCTTGACGCGATGTTCGCAGGGGAGCCCTCGTGTGTCCCAGAACCTGAAGCAGGAGTAGCAGACCTGCCACCTCTGAGTGGCCACGAGGGCTCAAGCCCGGGGGGGGGGACGGCACCAGATGCTCCCCAAGGACCACACCCCGGCCCAGAGAGCCAGTGTTTCCTGGGCGTGGGCTCTGCCACCTCAGGGCTGTGGGGCTCCGGGCACATTCCCTGACCTCTCTGCACCTCAGCTTCCTCACCTGTGACAAGTCAGTGACGACGGACCTACCCTACAGGGACATGTTGAAGATTGAGCTAAACTGCTCGGAACAGTACTTGACCCAGAGGATTGCCCAGAAAATGTTGGTGACTACCCTGAGGAGTCCCTGCTGCCTCTCCAAACCCAACCCCGCCCCCACTCCGGGCCAAAAGGACAGAGTTCCCCCACCCCACCCCCACTCCCATCAAGCACGACTTGACTCGGAAGAGCAGGGGACATTCCTTCCCCAGCCCCACCCCCGAGTTGAGACTAATTTTCCTCTCAATGCGGTCTTAACCCACCCTCGCTGCCAGGCCTGGCAACCAGCCCACTGGGAGGCAACTGGACCTTTGCAAAGAGCACTGGAGTTGGAGTCAGACCTGGGCTTCAATTCCAGCTCTACCTCTTCCCAGCTGTAAGCAAAGATCATGCCACCTTCCTGAGCCTCAGTTTCCTCATTTGTAAAATGGAAATTAACACCACCCACCTTGTGGAACTGATGTAAGGATCAATGAAAACTTGTCCACCAGCCATGAGCCCTGTGACCGTGGAAATACTAATGACACCTGCACAGCACCCCCACCTTCTCACCAGCCCTCACCAGCCATCTGTGAGGCAGGCAAGACAGGCACTCATGTTCCCATTTATCAGATGAGAAAAGTGAGGCTCAGAGAGGTTATATAGTCCACATCAGCCCTCTCTCATTGAGCAAAAGGCTCTGCAGATGAGAAAACAAACCTGCTGGATACAGGAGTGAGTGGACGGATGCACCAGGGCTGCAGGAGAAAACTAAGGGGTGAGTGGATTTATCCAGGCAATGGCTGATTAATGGGCTCAAGGCACCGAGGCCCTGCCAAGAGAATGCTGGAGAACTGCGCTGGCTGCAGCTCAAGACCTGCCGGAGGAAAGGGAGCTGCAGGCAAGGGCCGGTTCCAGAGGTCCCTGGGGGCCAGCCTGGGTCTTGTATACAGGAGCCTTGGGGGCCTGGGTGGGCAGCGCTGTCGGGCTTACACTTGCTGGCC